TCTCCCCCAGCCTGAACCCCCCCACCCCCCTCAGCCGCTCCCCACCAGCCCTGTGCTCCAGACCCTTCACCGGCTCCGTTGCTCCAGCATGTTCCAGATGCGGGGTGCTAGCTTGAAACTAAGCGGCACGGTCTTCTCCCAAAGGTGGGATATGAAAGGGTGAATTTCCTTTACTTGTTTTAGCATTTCTGTCATTAAATATGCTTCGCCTTGTCTGATGAATCGAGAAGAGCAAAAGCCTGTGTTTTGAGTCATGGATATCTTTGGATCATGAGCACCATCTGGAGAAATTTCCTCTACATAAGTGCAACAGAGGAGTCTAAAACATCTACCCAGTATCACAGCTCTTGCTGAACGACGTAAAAGGGTGAAAATAAACAGCTGAAATGGGAAAGAAAGTGTTAATTTTCTGTTTCTTCACATCAAGACTTACATTTTGGGATGGGGTGGGGATGGATGGAAGCTAAGTGAGCTGGCTCCTGGGTGTGGGTCCTCCAGGGCTCTATAAATCCCCCCATCTCTTCCTGCAAGAGCAGATTCCCCGGCACCTGCACGTCCCTGCCTGAGGGCTGCGGACAGAAAACTCTCGTTTGTGGCTGGGGCAGGAAACTGGCCAGTTGCTTGTGCTGAGTGAGCAAATTCCTGTGCTTTTAGGAAGGTGTTATATCTGCGGAAGGGTTGAAATTAAAATTGCGCCTGCTGTGGGAGGCAGGAAGCCTGTGTCACTGCCAAAGGCTCAGCAACGTGCTGCCTGACTTCGTGTCGGAGAGCCGCTGCCTGATTAAACAGCGCGTGAGCCTGTCCTGGCTTTCCTCCCTGCAGAGCGACTCAGCTCACTGGAGCAGGCGCTGGTGCTTGGCCAGGCCTTTGCACTCACCCAGTGCCTGTTAGGCAAGAGCTGGATTACACCAGGATCGGTTAGAAGAGAATGGGCAAACAGCCTCTCCCTGTTGAGGCTCGGAGGGGGAAGCCCTGGTACCGCCCTGAGTGCGTCCACCTCCCCTCCGTTTGCAGGCAAGGCTGGTCTGCGGTTGCACAGGGCTTGACTGAGTTACAGCCCCAGTGCATGGACTGGAATGGGTTGCCCAGAGAGCTTGTGCAGTCTCCATCCTTGGGGGTTTTTGAGACTCAACTGGATAAAGCCCTTAGCTGACCCTGCTTTGCGCAGGAGGTTGGACCAGAGACCTCCCAAGCTCCTGTCCAGCCTGGATTGCTCCACAGTTCTGTGACCCTGTTAGACGTTGTTACGGATTTGGTCTTCTGGTGGTGTCAGTGAGCTTGTGAGCACACGTACTCAGGACCTGTAACATTAGAGTTTGTTTTGTCCTTTCTTTTTAGTCGCTGGAAGCCTTGTAGAAAGTGCAAGGAACAGGCTGTCAATAGCCGGCAATTGCACTGCCTTTGCTCCCATCACCTGTGTCCTGATGGGCATCTCTGGCATGGGGGACTCACCTCTGGATCTTCACCCCCTTTATGCTCATGTACATGGTTGCTGTCCTTGGGAATTTCATGCTGTCCTTCATCAACAACACATAGAAAAGCCTCCATGAGCCCAGGTACCTCTTCCTGCCCATGCTGACAGTCTCTGACTTGCTGCTGTCCACTACCACCGTGCCCAAGACTCTGGCCACCTTCTGGCTTAGGGCTGGGGACATTTCCTTGGAAGCCTGCATTACCCAGGTATTCTTCATCCTTGTCATCTCCTGCGCTGAATGGGCAATCCTACTGGCTATGGCATTTGGTCGGTACATCGCCGTCTGCAAACCTCTCAAATATGTGACCCTCCTGATAAAGAGGATGACAGGGACAATAGGGTTGGCTGCTCTAGCAAGAAGCTTATCCATCATTTTCCCCATTGTTGTTCTTGTGAAGCGCTTGACCTTCTGCAGAAACAGACTCCTCCTTCACACCTACTGCAAGCGTGTGGGCATAGCCAGGCTTTTCTGTGTGGACGTCACCATGAATGTCCGGTGTGGTGTCATGATTGCTGTTTTTGTGATAGGCGTGGATGCCACACTCATTGCTGCGTCTTACCTGCTGATCCTCCAGACTGTCTTCCAGCTCCCAGCCAAAGACGCCTGGCTCAAGGCTCTGAGCACCTGCAGCTCTCATCTCTTGGACATAGTACTGTGCTTCACGCTAGCGTTTTCCTCCTTTTTGGGCACTGTATTCCCAGGTCTGCTCTTATCACCATGGCCAGTCTCTGTGTGCTTTTTTCCCCCATGTTAAACGCCATCATTTATGGAGTGACAAACAGGTTCAGAGGAGTGCAGTCCAGGTGCTTCAACCAGTGCCGCAGTCGTGGCTGAGCAGGTGTCCTGGGACTTGGACACCAAAGTTATGCTTTCCCTTTGAATACATTGAGATATGTTATTCAAGAAGTGATGGCTTCTGCTTGCCTGCAGGGCTGGACTGAGGTGAGACAGTGCAGCGGGAAGGACCACAAGCAGGAGTCATTGCCCAGTGTCTCGTTGGTTGTGTGAGCTGGGCACCCAAGGGCCATGGGCGAAGCCCAGAGTCTGTGCACTGGGTTGGACTGGGGGCTGTCAGCCTGCCACCGGCTTGCTGGTCAACTGCTTCCTTGCTCCGCTTCCTCAGAGCTTGTATGAGACCCTGACACTCTGCCCTAGCTTGTGCAGACCCCCAGGTCTGCAACAGAGCAGTGCAGGGTTTGTCATGCAGAGGTGCAGGGAAGAGCAGCAGGCAACAACATCTACACCACAGCGGCAAGACCGGCACCACGGGGAGCTTCATCTGTGAGTGGCATCAGCCCGCAAGCACAGCCCTCGGCTCTGCCACTCGGGACGAAGAACCTCCTGCTTCAAACCTTGAAAGCTTCAGCTCTCCAGCAGGTAGGCTGGCAGGAGGGGTTGCAGGCAGGGATTGCAGGCAGGGATATTTTTAATTCCTCTCTAGGTAGGTGTCCTGGTTTCAGCTGGGAGAGAGTTAAATTTTCTTCCCAGTAGCAGGCACAGTGCTGTGTTTTGGATTTAGTAGGAGAAGAACGCTGATAACACACTGATGGTTTAGTTGTTGCTCAGTGCTGCTTGTGCCAGTCAAGGACTTTTCAGCTTCCCATGCTCTGCCAGGGGCACAAGGAGCTGGGAGGGGGCACAGCCAGGAGAGTTGATCCCAACTGCCCCAAGGGCCATTCCATACCATACGGCGTCATGGGCAGTATGGAAACTGGGGGGGTTGGTCGGGGAGCAGCGATCGCTGCTCCGGAACTGTCTGGGTATCGGTCGGCGGGTGGTGAGCAATTGCATTGGGCATCACTTGCTTTGTACATTATTATTACTGTTATTATTATATTGAATGACACCTCCTGCTTAAAACCCAAAAGCCAGAAGGATGGTGAGGCCCCGCTTTCAGCAGGGTGGAAGCGTGCTGGGCCCATAACCCAGAGGTTGATGAATCGAAACCATCCTCTGCTACCATTGTTATTATTACTACTACTATTTTACTTTATTTTATTTCAATTATTAAACTGTTCTTACCTCACCCCAGGAGTGTTTCTCACTCTCACTCCTCCGATTCTCTCCCCCATCCCATCGGGGCAGGGGGAGTGAGCGAGCGGCTGAGTGGTGCTGAGTTGCTGGCTGGGGCTAAACCACGACAAACGGTTAAACCACGACAGTAGGACAGGCTTCCTGCACAGGCAGCAGGAACAGCTTTCGTTGGGAAGGACGAACACAGACGAGCTACACACAGAGACCCTTGGCCCCCACACTCAGCCCAGAAGCCCTGAGCCAAGCATCAACTCCTTCTTCATCACCTGTGTGCTGCCGTAGCTGTGGGCCCCTTGCCCACGCCTGGTGGGCTGCAGATGCCCAACAGCCAGCTCAGAGGAGCCTCCCGCACAGCAAAAGCCCGTGGTGGGTAATTTCCACCCTGGCACCACCCTGCTCCATGTGTGGGGCCTTGACCTGCCCCATGGAGATGCTTCAGCCTCACAGCTGACCTGCACGGCTCCTCTTAGACATGCCTTTCTTGGGGGACCAGTGGGGTGCCCCCCTTAGCTATGCCAACCATCTCCAGAGGCCAGAAAGGTTTTTTCTTGCATGATGTATAAAGTAGGTGAGGAAAACTCTGCCTTCTGCGGTCTGTCACAGCGTCTTCCCACCCACACGTCTGTGCTGATGCTCAGAAGAAGGACAAAATGCAGCCTTGTGGTGCAGTCACTATTTGCAGTGCTTGGGCATGGGGTGGGGAGAGTGGTAGCAAGAGGGAATCGTCTCCCTCCCGAATGCTTCCCCTCCGCGCAGGGGAGGGCTCTGGGGCCGGCAGGGAGAGGCAGGGGCAGACACATTCAGCTTTTGACCATGTCCTAAACCCAGTCTGCTCCAGAGCTGCAGCGCGGCACAGCACTGCAAGCCAAAGTGGTTTGCAAACATCAAAGTGTTCATGGTTTGCAGACAAGAAATTTTGATGCTTACATTTGTGCGGTGGCTTCCCATATGTGTGCCCACAGGTTAGTTGTGTGCTGTGCTTAATGCGGGCTAATGTGGACGGAGACATTTCATCTAAAACCCTGCAGGAGTGAAGCTGCTGGCTAATAAATACAGAACATTCTTGCCGGTGGTCAGCGGCGCAGTGTGTTGAAACTGTGCTGCCCTAGCTGAAGGCAGAAAGGGGCAGCAGCAAACCCTTCCGGAGCAGCAGGTAAGTGCAGGGAGAGGGACGGATCCCGAGGTCTGCTCTGGCAATTCGTGGCTGTTAGACAGGGGTGCTTCAGTGCAGCCTCTCGAGGGCTGGGCTGTACCCCAGGGGATGCTCTGTCTTGTGCAACACCAGCTCAGGGAATAAATCACATCTGACCAGAGACATTTTAGATTAAAGATCTCTAAAAATTACCCATTGCTGGGCTCAGTGGAGGATAAGCCGGTGGCTTTTGGCCTGGCTGACCTATCTGGGGCTCGTACTAACCCACAGTCTGTTTTAGCCTTAAAACAAATTGCTAGGGAGGAGCAGGTTAATGTCAGTCATGCAGTGCAGTGAGCAGGTGGGCTTGCTCACGGTGAAAGCGGTGCTGCAATCCGGCCCTCTGGTTTGGGGACAGTGTTTTAACAGATATCAAAAAAGTCTGGAGAGGAGGGAGGCAGAACAGTGCTGGAGAAAATACTTGATCTATAAAGGGTGCAAAACATATTAATTCTTAAAGAGCTGTAGAGGCATCTTCATTGCAGGGTGGGAGTCTCAGGAGAAAACATCGGATGCTAAGGATCATTGCAATGCCCTTGAGAAGGATGAATTTGAATGAATGGAAAATGAAGCCAGACATATTCTGATTAGAAATAAAAGCCTTGTTTTGAATAATGAGAATAATTAACTGCTGTGAGAAGCTCATGAGAACAACAGTAGATTTTCCAGCAGTGACTATACCCATATATATATACGCCCATGTGGAGAGTGGAAGTTACTGGGTACAAAGTTGTTTTCTCAGTGAGCTCTTTGGCTTCCAGAGTGGTGGAGGACTGAGAAACAGTCTGCATGCCTGTTTTGGCCTCCAGCTCTGCATATGTGCATGCTTGCAATGTGATAATTTGTGGTATTTCTGAGATGCCCCTGCCCATTCTCTGTGGAAGAGCTCTTCTAAGCAAGGACAGAGGCAGCTGGCACTTTGAGGCCAGCTACATCATCTTCTCCGGTGCTTGGTGATGAGACCTGTTGGCAGCCACAGTGCCTGTCCTACCTCTTTCCTATCACCCTGCCCCATCTGTGTTCCCCTTCCCGTCACTCATGGTCATGCCACTGGAGGAGATCGGGCCCTGCTCCCTCCTCCCAGCATCCTGACCTTCACCATCCATGGTCACTGTGGCCAAGGCTGCCCCCAACATTCACATCCCTGAGCAGTTCATCCGTGTTTCAAATTACCAGGTCCAGCAGAGCCTCTTCATTTGTTGGCTTCTTCATCACCTGTGCCAGGAAGTTGTCATCAACGTATCTACAAATCTCCTAGGTTGCTTCAGCCCTGCTGTATTGTCCTTCCAGCAGATATCAGCGTCAACTTTGAACAGTAAGCAATCCTGAAAATACCCCAGGAGGTGACAATCCGTTGACGTGTGTGTGCAGCGGGTGCCAGGAGGCATCGCCTAGTGCAGCACATGAGCTGGTTGGAAACAACTCATTTGCTTCCTGAGTGAGAAATTGCTCCCTGAAGAGGGTGGGCAGGAGAGGCCAGCCTTCCTGTAGCGATACCAGGGACCATCGGCACCTCGTTCTCCTTCCCTGAGTGCCACCAGTGTTTGTACCAACAGCAGCTTCGCTGACTCTGCCTGTGGTGTTACCAGCGGCACCACTTGCCTGCTGGGACAGAGCTCCCCGTTACTGAGCAAGGACTCTGGGGTGAGAGCTGGGATGGCTGAGGTGGGAGGTGTCCACAGCCTGCTCCATCAGGTCACTGCATCCCTCCAGCTGATGGGGAAGTCGTGCACATCCCCACAAAGAAGATGATGCTGTTGCTGCTGCAGAGGTCCCAGTGGGCAGCATTGAGGACATGCAGCAGCAAGAAATCACACAGAGGATGCCAAATTTCTTCCAGCAAACCCAGAACTCAGGAATGGTGGTGGTGGTCTCTAACCCAAAGGCCTTGCAGGCTTGGCCACAGATCGAGCAGGTTTTACCACTCCTTGCAGTGGAAGCACCAGTCAATGCTGTGGTTGATGCTCTGCGGGCTCTGGGCAATACCAGAAACTCTGCAAATGTTGCAGGTACCAGCTCTGGGCCTGGCAAATTGCCCCCACAATATGAACAATGTCTGAGGAGGAACGACAGCATCTAAACACGCTGCATGCAGTTCCTGGGACAGTCTCCAACCCTCACAAGCTCCAGGAATCAAATTCCAGGAAGAACTGGAGCTAGTCAGGTTAATGATCCTCCTTAATGGGGAAGGAAGTGTTAGAGTGTTTGGGAAGTTCAATCCTTTTGATTTTCATCCCAGATTTATTTATCTCCTGACTCGTTAGAGGAGAGGCACTACCTAGGCACACATTGATACAGGCATCATAAATAAATCTGGGATGAAAACCAGAAGGAATTTCCCAACCGTTAGATAACTAGGTCGCTCCAGGTAGCACAGCAGGGGTGAGCCGGGCAAACCCTTTGTAACATGGAGCTGTGTTGCAAACAGGATACGTGTGCCAGTGAGGCAGGACGGGTTTACATGCCTGGGAGAGCCCGGCCACCCTGTGCTCCTGATGGGAGGTGAGCGCCGCACAGCTCCGAACACCAAGTGCTGCTCAGAGCTGGGTCCCCTCTGCGGGTCCCCTGTGCCGTTACATTTGGGTGCAGCACACACGATAAAGGGTCTCTGCTTGTTGCAGTACGCCTGTGAGATCTCGCAGCAGCGTTGACTCCAAGGTGTCAGTTTTCCCCAGATCCCACTGATGTATATTTGTATCAGGAATAGTGTGGCCAGCAGGAGCAGGGAGGTGATTGTCCCCCTGTACTCGGCGCTGGTGAGGCCACACCTGGAATGCTGTGTCCAGTTTTGGGCCCCTCAATACAAGAAAGACATTGGGGTGCTGGAGCGTGTCCAGAGAAGGGCAGCGGAGCTGGGGAAGGGTCTGGAGCACAGGGCTGGTGGGGAGCGGCTGGGGGGGCTGGGGGGGGTCGGCCCGGGGGA